GGTTTGTAGCAGCTCCCTGGTGACTCCACTGTGGTGGGAGAGTGACAAGTCAGGACATGGTTATTGCAGGGATTCTGCCAGTCGCTGGCTTGATCTAAATCCCAGTTCCGATACTTGCTAGCAAACGGCCTTGGGCTGGTGGCCTCAAACCTGGGAGCCTAAGTTATCCCATCTGAGAGTTGGGGACAAAACACTAATTCACCAGAATGGCATGTGGGTGAGGATGGGTGGTAAGTCACACTGTGGGTAGGAGCAAGCAGCATGGCAGGGACTTAGTATCGGTCAGCAGATTCCCAACAAGCCCTCTGATAACCCATCCTCCAGTTCCTCTTTAGGAGACAGTTTATCCTGGTTCCTTTTAACCCTTCCCCTCTGAAGTCAGGTGCCTGCCCTTAATTACATGGGCAGCTCCCATACTGTGCTACCCTGTGGCTAGGAGATTGGAACACGACTAGTAGGCTGTAAATACTGGAACGAGACTCCCTAGGTTCCCCCATCTGCTGAGCCAGGTAAACTTGGCCTTCCCTAGGGACAAACCTCATTTAACATCTATGCCAATCCATCTGAAAGGTGAGACACCGTGACCCCAGAGCTGTTTCCCTACAGCACAAAGCCCTTCCTTAGGTCCGGATATAACTTTCCTCCTAAGCCATGTGATAACCAATGCTACACATCCTTGTGACATATTACCACGTGCCAGGCACCTTCCTAATGCTTCCCAGTGTTATGTCCTGTGGGTTGATAGTGCAGTGGTTAAATGGATCCTGCATCCCTTGCTGTATAGAAAAACTGAGCCATGGTCACCAAAGCTTGGCTCAGCCCCCTGGGTTTCATGGTAAGGCCCTGATGGGGAAGCACCGGTGTTCTAAGGATGCAAATGTGAACCTGTGGCCTAGAGTGAGCCTGGGGGGTTCCCACTGAACACCCACGGACTTGAACTGTTGCTCTCCCATCTGGGGCAGAGAGGGGGCTGGTTTTGCTGTTCTTAGACTAGGAGAGCCCATCCAGCCTGCAGCAGGGGCTGAGAGCAGCTGAGGAGTCCTCCCAGCAGGAAGGACCACCCCTAATACACACACACACACACACACACACACACACACACACACACACGCATGCACACACGCACTCAGGTGATGTTTTCATTAAAAACAGATAAATAAAAAGAGCATTTAAACTCTGACAGCCTGGGACTGGGGGTGGAGCCCAAGGGCAGAGCTCAGGTCCCTGGGTTTCACGAATCAGAAGAGAAGGCAGCCTGGCCACATGCCCGCAATAGCCTCCTACACACCACTCTCAGAGCGTGTCCAGTTTAGTTATCATCTACCTACCCAAGTTCCCCATTGCAATTCTCTCCAGATCTGCCTTGCTGTGTGACCTTGGGCAGGTTGCTTAACCTGTCAGAGCTTCTGGCTTTCTGTCTCAAAAGAGGTTACTCAGGTCTTTCAGGAATCGAAGAGAAAGTCTGTGTCACCCCTACTTGCCTGATGGACCTAAGCCTAACCCAAGCCTTCACAGCACTCCTGAGCTATCCTTTCATGTCAATTAGTCTATTTCTGCGCTGATGGTTTTGGTCCAGGGTGGCTACCTCCAACTCCCCCACCCCCACGCCATTGGCTTTATCTGAGGTTCTTATTCTAGAGAACAAAGAGGAGAGGGCAGGGAAGGCAGGAAGCTTTCTAAACCATCTTCAGACCTGCTGTAGGCAAAAAGGAAATGAGCCCTGGGATGGGAGATGGCTCCAAGGATGACACAATGGGGAGGGGTGTCAGCATACCTATTGGGCCAAATTCCTCCACCTCAGCAACACGCTGGAGGAAAGGCTGAAAGGGAACAAGCTGTCTCCCCTACTCTCAATGGCCCTCAGGACACAGGGCAGACTAAGGCTATCAGCAAGATGGGTGGCAACGAGTGGCACAAATGAGGAGGCAAAGAAAAACAGCCCTGTCAAATGCAGAAAGGCCCCAGCACGCTTGCTTCCCCAGCCTGGCCCATGAATCGAGGGGTGACAGGTCTCTCATCTCTGATGCCAAGAGCCAGGAGCTGCGGGCAGCAGGCAGGTACTATGCCTGCACCTGCCAGTGCTTGAGTGAGGCAATAAAGTATCATAGCAGGACCTGGAACGCTAAGTGCCTGCAGCTGGGAAGGATTGGGAGCACCATGGCCCTTCTCTGGCAAACAGGCCTGAGGATGGCCGGAGGGGGGAGGGACAGGTGCACACACAGCCTAGCTCTGCCCTGGGGAGACAGACAGATGGACAGATGGGCAGAGAGGTTCTGGAGAAAGCCCAGTGGGCTGTTTCAGTCACCAAGGCATGCAGAAAGCTGGATGGCTTGTGTCACTAGTTCATAAAAGAATGAGGCCAGTCTCAAATGATATAAGATGCTGTTTACACAATACTTGGGATGGTGGTGCCAGACCTTATCCCGTGATGTGTGATAATGGGCCTTGTTGCTACAGCTGCCCTAGGAGGGCAGTGTGACCAGTATACACATAAGGAACACAGACTGTGCAGGATCCAGAGCTGAAAGAGGCCATATCCTGGGGAAACGTCCTAAAGTTCACCTTCCCATCAGCCACCTGTGTGAATATGTAGGCCCTGACTCCAGGATCTGGGTAGAATGGGCCCTGTCACCAACAAGTTGTCAGGCTGCTCCTGGTCCCACAGTCCTATGTGGGAGCAGTAGGACTCTAAGTCACCATGATCTGTCCCTAGGGGCTCTTTGGGTGCACATTTGCAGTGACAGCCCCTGCTCCAGACCCTGGAGCCACCTATGAATCCATAAGCATGCAGAAATGGTCCCCTCCCATGCATCAGAACCACAGGGGTGAAGTGAGGGGTATGCAGCAGTCAGTGTCATGTGTCCTTTCTGAACCTTCATCTAGATCAGTCAGAATGACTAAGCTAGGGGTCATGGGTAGTTCTAGAAGTGGCTGCCAGTGATTCATTCAGACATGTGTGAACTGGAGCCCCGGAGTGATGCTCACAGATATTTCATTCATCGTGGGATTTTCAGCACACAAAACTAAGGCATGTTCTGGAGGGCTGGTCAAGGACTCAGGGGGGATTCCAAAGAAAGAGAAGTGAGCCATCTCTGGGGCCACTGGAGGGGTCAGCTGGGGTCTGCTAGCACATTCCTTCTTGTCCCTGAGGGACCCATGGAGGAAGGGCACATGGCTCAGCAATGTCAGCCTCCTGTGTTGACATGCTTAAGAGCTAGCTCTGCCCTCACGAGTGTTTCGGGTGAAAAGAGCCAGGCCTCCCAGGCCCCAAGCCACTGCAGAACCACTCCTGACAGACTACTTTACCAGGTGCAGTCAGGCTCCTCTGAGCCCTCCTCCCTTACTTGGCATTGACCTTGGATGGTGCAGCTTTGCTTAGGGGATAACAAATTGTGGCCATCATGGAGGGAAGGTTGCTATGGTGACCTCCATATGATCTGGATCCTCAAGGCAGAAAAATAAGGCAAAGGACTCTGAAAATCAGTGCCTCCTTCCTGGAGAAGTTCCTGCCCACCCTTCAAATCCCTCTGCTCCAGGCCACAGTGACTTGAGTGTGTCCCCAAGACTTTACTCCCCTTAGGATATAGGTGGCATGTGGTCCGAATGTCCCCCAAACTTTGCTATACAGAAATACATTCCTCACCAGCAGGGAGTAAGAGGATGGAAACTGAACCCAACTAGGATATTTAGAGAGGACTATGGTTAGTCATGGGTTGGAGCCCCACAGTTGCATCTGGTGGCTTTATGAGAAGGGGGGAGGGACCAGGCCCACATACATACTTACCCATCTTCCCTACCACAAGGTGTCTTGTGCTGCCTGAAGATGCCCCTAACAAGAAAACTATCACCAGACACAGCCTCTTGACAGAAGGTCATAACCAGGAGCCAATGCCAACTTCCTTTCTTCAGAAAGGTCATCACTCACCTGGCCTGTGGGACTTTGCTCCCAGCCACGGTTGAATAGTCTGGTACACTGTCTCCCCTAGCCATAGGGCCTCTAGTTTACAAGGGTGTTACAGAACTATGTTGCAAAACTATGCTTAATGACTATACTTGGCAGCTCTCTCTCTCTCTCTCTCTCTCTCTCTCTCTCTCTCTCTCTCTCTCTCTCTGTGTGTGTGTGTGTGTGTGTGTGTGTTGTAGGACATATTGGTGAGAAGCCTTGGTTTTAAGCTTGAGGACACACAAAAGACTACATTTCCCAACCTTCTCTGTAGCTGATAGTCATGTGACTGAGTTTGGATCACTACAATGTAAAGAAGAGGAAGATACAACTTCTAGGAAATGTTCTAGCTGGGCGTTGGTGGCCCACGCCTTTAATCTCAGCACTCAGGAGGCAGAGACAGGCGGATCTCTGTGAGTTCGAGGCCAGCCTGGTCTCCAGAGCGAGTGTCAGGATAGGCTCCAAAGCTACACAGAGAAACCCTGTCTCAAGGGAAAAAAAAAAAAAAAAAAAAAGGAAATGTTCTTACAAGCTACAGGCTACCTATACATGCTGTAATGGCTGGAGCCTCAACAGCCATCTTAGACTATGAGATGAGAACTACATGAGGCGAAGCGATCCACCTGCCCAAAATTGATTGTGACAGAAAAATGACCTTCCCTTGTTTTAGCGACTGCTGTTTGAAATTTTCTGTAATCCACTGCTGACTTTATGCTGTAAGAGTCATACCTTCAATTCCTGGAGGCAAAGGTTCTGTATTCTTACAAGCACCATTATACACTGTATAGAGCCATCCTGTCCATCCTTCTCCTACTGACAACAATCTGAAGTATGGATTGGGTCTGCCCGACTCCATCCTTCAGCTTCAGGAGGTAGAGTCCAGGCCTGGGTACCACACAATTTGGGGCCTAGGGCCCAGTGGATTCTTTCTACTGTGCCCACACAGCCTCTGCATCAATGCCCATATTCTCAGCATGTAAAGGCTCTCCCTCCAGTTCCCTTAAGGATGGCCTGGCTCCAGATTACCTGCTCCCCGTGTGAGGGAAACAGCCCTTACCAGGATGTCTGTATCCTCAGAGTCCTTCCCTGAAGCCAGGCTGGAGCAGTTGCGGAGTTTAAATGCCCAGTACTCCTTGGCAGTGACAAAAAAGTTCCAGGGCAGTAGGCCCCCAATTCCCAGGCTGAAGAAGATGATGTAGGTGCCATTGAATCGGTCCTCTGGCCTCTGCAGGCCTGGAGCTGGGTAGTCAAGTAGTTTCCCCAGCAGGGCTTCCTGGTCAGCATTGTGAGGGTTGCTCAAGGCTCCGTAGGTAGCATTTGAGCTCTGATATATATTGTCTTCAGAGTCAGCCACTGTGGGAACAGAGAGAGATACACAGAGCAGGTGAGCAGGCATCGAGGCTGGGGACTGACTTATTCTAGAAGATATCTCTAGCCCATGTTGGGTCTTCCCTGCTGTCCTTGAAGTCTGAATGGAGAGCTTCAGGTTTTAGGATCAGGAAGAAAGACAAAAATCAGGCGAGAAGGCCAGGCTATCAGAACTGTAGTGACCTCAGAGGTCATCTCAACTATGCAAAGACAACACAGGGAATGAATAAGTACGGGACAAGTGGTGTGAATATCCTTGCAGGTACAAATGAGGCAAACAGGGCAGAAGGGTGAGCCTGGGTTAAAAGCATTCACATAGGAGTCAGAACCCTTGATGGGCAAAGAATGAGCCTCCTGCTCTTCTATTTTACACAAAAAGTGTAAGCAGAGGGAAACTACACACACACACACACACACACACACACACACACACACACACACACACACACACACATGCGCTCGCGATTTTGTACATGTGCTCAATATACCTTGGAAGACACACAGGGGTCTTCCAACAGTGGGTGTCTTTGGAGGGAGACTGTGACAGTGAGGGAGCTTCACTGTTAATTCTTAGTTTTTGTGCCTTTTGAATTTGGGCAATGTATATTAGCTATTCAATCATCAAACTGGGCCAGGAATAGTGGCACATACATGCCTATAATTCAGTAGGACCCTGGAGGTGGAGGCAGAAAGATCAGGATTGAAGGGCAACATCTCCTACATAGAGGGCTCGAGGGATAACCCAGACTAAGTGAGACCCTGCCTCACAAAGAAACGACTTCGGTACTTCAGAATGCCACAGTCACACCCAACATATGAGCCATGACAGTCAGGTGTTAGGTACTATCCACAGATAAGAAGTCTGAGGCTCAGAACGATCCAGCCACTTGTCCAGGTCACAGCAGCATGAAATGATTCAGCCAGGCAGTCTGGGTGCCCCCTGAGGATCCTCAAGCCCCACCCCCAGGGATAGTCTAGGAATGTGACTCTGCTGGTTCCAAGTCCCTGTAGACCTCCCTCCTGAAGGCATCCTGCAGTAAGAAGCTCTGAGCAGAGCAGGCCCAAAGGGACCATCATCAACACTGCTGAATAAATGGACCTGCAGGGCCCGGACATCACCCTGGACTACTGCAGCTATGCCCTAGAGCAGGCAGGCAGGAGGTTCTACAGTGTTCTGTCAGGGTAAGCAGGGCCCCTCTATAGCCTTGAGTCACATGGAGACCAAAGATGACCATCTAACCACAGTATGTATAGAGGTACACACACACACACACACACACACACACACACACACACACACACTTAAAATTATTGTTAAAAACATGTAAACAGGAGCTGGAGAGATGTCTCACCAGTTAAGAACATTTGCTGTTCTTCAAAGGACCTGAGTTCAGATTCCATCACCCAAGGCAGGTGGCTCAACTACCAGCTCTAGGGGATTCGGTGCCTTCTTGTGGCTTTTGAGGGCACCTGAAAGACCTTGCACATGCCCACACAAGAACACACCTATGTACACCTAATTTTTTAAAATGTAAAAGATAACCATGAACCACAGAGGCCACCGGAGTACTGGCAAGGAGCCTAGAAGTTCAGGCTAGAAGGGTGGGTGCAGGGCCCAGTGCAGGTAAGCCAGACCCACACAGGGCCAGAGTCCCTTCTCAGCTGCGGTGTGTATTCATCAAGGACCATTCAGCCTTGACCAAGCATCTGAAGTTGCCAGGGATCCTCTCTAATCGGGTCACTGGCGGTGCAGCAGAATGAGCAAAGTCTTATTACTCTTTATAAAAGGTAGCTGTGGCTTTGGATGAACAGAGAAAGACAAAGAAAGGAGGGGAGACCAAGAGCTTCCTCAGGCCAGGTTGCCCCTGCCCATGTAAGAGCCAGTCAGAGCTGGAAAGGCTGGGGACAGAGAAGATGCCTGGCCAGCCTGTGTGTCTCCATGACTCCTGAAGAAGCAGGCTGGGGACGAAGAGCGAGCCTGACAGCAGGCTGGGACAAGTTCTCTCCACAGAGGCAGCTGTGGTACCCGATCAGGCCCCGCAAAGCCTTCTGGATCCTTCAGGCTGACCCGTCCCCACACGCAGGACCAAAGAGTGAGGCGGGGAGGCCAGGTTCAGCCACGGGAGGAGGAGACCCAGACAAATATGGGCGCCACTGTACCCGCACTTACTGTCGCTGTTGCTGCTACCTCCACCAGGTCCCGGCCCGAGCCACTGCAACTAGGGCTCAGCCAGGCCCGGGCTCTGCCCTCACCCTCCCAGCCTCCCTCCCGTCCCCAGCTCTCTCCGCTCCGCCCAGCGCTTCCGGGTTCGCTGACACCGCCCACCGAGCCCCTCCCAACACGCGCGCCCCCGCCTGGTGCACGGCTGCAACTGCAGGCGTCGATTCGCAAACTGCAGAAAGAAAAGCTCTGGGCCAGGTCCCGCCCTGCCTCCCTGTTAGCATCTCCTCCGCCCCACCCGGGAGAGTCCCCCACTCCACCTCGTTACCTGGTTCCACTCTCTGATCCCCACAAACACTTCCAGAGCAACATGCAGCCCCAAGGATGAACTTGGCCTCCCAACCTAGGTGGAAGAGACGCAGAATTTGAAGCTACTTGGTAGCAGTGAGCGAGGCCAGCTCGTGCACTCGGGGCAGGTGTGTGTGGAGGGGCAATCCAGATGCCAAACCTGTTGAAGGAAACTTTTCGGAGACCCTGAGACCATAGTTCAGGAAAGAGCGGAAGATGGTTCCGGAGCTCTGAAGAGTTGGGCCGAGTAGGCGCTAAGGAGCGGACCTGCTTTGTTTTGTCTTCTTTTTGAGGAAAAAGCGGGATGGGTGGGGGGCACGAGGGAAACATCAAGAGTGACTGGGTGGGGGGCGCGAGGGAAACATCAAGAGTGACAGAAGTCTGGTCTCTCTACCCATTCATACCCTTACCAGCTGGGGGACCTGGAGCAAGACTCTTCCTCCATCGCCCTGCAGGGGGCGTGGAGATGCTCACCTAGCACCCAGTACTTGGAAGGGGCTGAGGTTCAGTCCCACCTCAGCTGCAAAGTGAGCTTGATATCAGCCTAAGCTACTTGAGACACATGTGCACACCTACAGGCAGACATGCACATTCATATGTGCAAACATGCATGTACACAATGCATACATGTATGCACGCAAGCACATACATCACACATGCATGCTCGTATGTACACATGTACACACGTGCACACTCACATATACACATGCACGTGAGGTGAGGTTCAAAAATAAGCATATCTCAAAAAACATGGCCTTAACTTCAGGCTTAAATAGCATCCTCAAGTGCAAGAGGAAGAAGCGGGTACTGGAACACGGCCCTGTGGGAAAGCACAAGCTAGAATGCTCCAGACCACTATAGGCACATCCCCCACAGGGCACAGAGTGGGCAAGGGCACCTTAGGACCAGGAAAAGGAAAAGCCAGCAAATAAGGTAGAGTGTGCAGTTCTCCTTGTCTCCCTGTGTCATTTACTGCAATAATAATAATAACAACAACAGTAATAATAATAAACGAGTAAAACCAACTTGGGGAGGAAGGGGTTAATTTCACCTTAGAGCTCCACTGAGGGAAGTCAGGGCAGAAACTGAATGCAGGAAGCTAGAAGTAGGAACCAAAGCAGAACTCAGGAAGGAACTTCAGCTTATACGACTTTCTGTCAGTGGTTTGCACAGTCTTGTGTGTGTGTATGCTTGAGACAGGGTTTCTCTGTGTAGCCCTGGCTATCCTGGGACTCACTTTGTAGACCAGGCTGACCTCAAACTCACAGGGACCTGCCTGTCTCTGTCTCCCAAGTGCTGAGATTAAAGCTGTGCGCCACCATTGCCAGGCTTCAGTATTATTTGTTAAACAATTGAAGACCACCTGCCCAGGGTAGGCACATGCACCCGGAGTGGCTTGGATCCTCCACATCAATCATTAATCAAGAAAACGCCCCACAGGCCAATCTGATTGATGGTGGCTATTCCTCAACTGAGGTTCCCTCTTTACAGATGTGTTTGGGATTGTGTGGAGTTGACAAAAACTAACCAGCAGAGCAGAAATGGAGAGGACTATGTTGTTGTTTTGCTGCAGCTGCTGGCAATGAAACTCGAACCACAAAACTCAATAAAACCCACGTGGAGTTTACTGGGGAAAGGGAGCAAAGAGAGGGGTAGGTGTTGGCCAACCGGGAACAGAGATGGAAGGGGAAGGGGGAAGAAGGGTAAAGAAGGAGGAAAGGGGGGGGAAGGATGGGAAGAAGGGGAGAACAGGTGGGAGTGCTTGCTTAAAAAGGAAAGCTTGCACATGTGTACAGAGTCCTTATGCCGCCATGTAACACATGAGGTAGCCATGCAACACAGGGCCCTTTGAGCTGTCTAAGTATCTGCCTGAATGCTGGTGTGGGTACCTTGCCAGTTGTCAGGGGGTGGGGCCAGCATAATTCGTGAATCCTTATAAGCTACCCTTACACACAGAGGCCTTCTTTGTATATGTAAAGTCCCCTTACCAAGCTTTTCTTAGCGTGTGTCTTAGGGTTACTATTGCTGTGATGAAACACCGTGACCAAACCAACCAGAGGAGGAAAAGGTTTATTTGGCTTACACTTCTGTATCACTCACTGTTCATCCTTGGAGGAAGTCAGGTCAGGAACTCAAACAGGGACAGGAACCTGGAGGCACGAGCTGCTGCTGAGACCATGGAGGGGGGCTGCTGACTGGCTTGTTCCTCATGGCTGGCTCAGTCTCCTTTCTTATAGAACCCAGGACCACCAGCCCAGGGATGGCCCCACACACAATGGGCTGCCCCACCCCTCCTTATCCTTGCCCCCATCAAATCACTAATTAAGAAAACACCTTACAGCTGGATCTTCTGGAGGCACTTTCTCAATTGAGGCTCCCTCCTTTCAGATAACTCTAGCTTGTGTCAAGTTGCCATAAAACTAGCCTGCACAGTGGAATGAAGGGAAAGAAGAAGGGTTGTTCGTCTTTATTTACTTTATACTGCTTAGATAAACACCACGACCAAAAGCAACTTGGGAAGGAGTGAGTTTAGTGGCTTACCTGCCCCAGTCACACACAGTCCATATGAAGAGAAATCAGCACAGAAACTCAAAAGGCAGGAACTAAAGCAGAAGTCATGGAGTAAAGCTGCCTTCTGTTTTGCTCAGCTTGCTTTTAATACAACCCAGGACCACCTTCAGAGGCATAGCACTGCCCCCAGTGGACCAATCATTGTCAAGAAGATGTCCCATAGACTTTCCACCAAGCCAATCTGATGCAGGAATTTTCTTGGTTGACATTCCCTTTTCTAGAATGACTCTTGCTTGTATCAAGTTAACAAAAACTCACCAACATAGTCAGCATTGTAAAGATTCAAGCCTATGAAAGCATCTGGGCCCTCTTCTTCCAAGACTGGAGGTCTACAAGTTCTCCCTTTTCTGCCTCTACCAGATGGCTTCGTTTACTTTTCTGCTCCTGTGATAAAACACTCTGACTAAAACAACACAAGGGAGAAAGGGTTTCTTTTAGCTCACAGTTCTGCCTCTCTGTCTCATCAGGGGAGTCCAAGCAACATGAACCTGAAACAGCAGATTGCATTACATCCATTTTCAGCAGTGACTGCTTGCTTGCTCCATCCTTATACAGTTCAAGATTTCCCCGGCTAGAGAATGGTTACACTCATGGTGGGCTGGTTTTCCCACCTCAATGAGTGTAATTTAAATAATGCAATCACCGATGTGGCCAGGGGCCCATTTGCTAGATGATTCTAACATCTGTCAGGTTGACAGTTGACAGGGATCATTACACCTGCAATCTTTGTCTTTTTGTTCTGTTTTGTTTTCTTTTGTCATGTGGTCTTTTCCTACAACTGGCCAACATGTAGAGAATAAGAGACTGTGGAGTGCTCAGTCCTAAATGGAGCGTCTAATACCACACCCTTCCCTCTCAGGGCAGACTCGGGAATCCCTGAAAAAGGGTGGAAAGATCGTAAGAGCCAGGGGTGGTACATGACTGCCAGGAAACAGTGTTCAGTGTTCAGGGGCACAACAGGGCACAACAGGGAAGTTACACATATGAACTCATGGGCACAAGACCCGTGCAAACTTAAGCCAGACAAAATCCCATCACGGAGGGAGAAAGCTAGGCAATTCCACCCCTACCAGAGAGGTGCCAGGAGAGGGAGAGTCAGAGTTCTTTAAGGGCATGACCCCTGATAGATTGACCACTATCCAGGGGGCACCACACTAGAAAATTTAGACAACAGAAATTGAACTCCATGAGTTGAGAGAGAGATGGAAATAGATAGAGAGAGGAGATCATGAGCCGGAGAGCACAGCAAGTTGGGTAGATAGGGAGTTGGGGGTGAGTATGATCAAAATACCTTCTATAAAACTTTAAAAAGTAATACAATTATTGAAAATTTAAATCCATAAAAGAAATCGTTATACACATTTCCAGAAAAGTTAGTTTATATCTTTCCTGTCCTTTAAACAAAACTGCCCCCTCTCCACCCCCCCACCCCTCAACTCCACC